GTTAACACTACAGCCCAGAGAAACACATACTATCCCAACCACCCAGGCAAATGGGGGCTACCGAGGAACCTCCACCAAAGCCACCACACTGAGCACCCCAAAAACCAAAGGACTGCTCTGGCTTTCCCTGTATGTGCATAATTAGGATGTTTTAAAAACCAGATAGAGGAAATTGCTACTAGGGTTCCTAATGTTCTTTCTTTGGGGAAAGAGGGGTTGTTTCCCATGAAGATATGAGTGTGCCTGTGTGTGCACATATGTAGGTGTGTGTGTAGCCTTGTATTTGACAGTAGCATCTGAGTAACCACCAAAAAACTAAGCATAGATGAAGTATGTGAAAAAAAATCTGATTTTTCTAAATGTGTCCATGTGAAGCTCTCAGTGGTAGCAAGCCCATCAAGAGGACCCTTTTGGGATTAAGTATGCTCAAGCTGGATTGATTCAGAAGGTGCTTTTTGGAGAATAAGTCACAGAAGTCACATGAAAGATGGTCCTGTAACAAGCTATGCATATATTTATAAAATATATTTAAATGTTTATAAAATACGTAAATTGTAATGTAGTTACAGAAGACAGAGCAGTGACCAGCACCTCAGAAAGGCTCATTAGGCTACTGATTTTGAGGGTCAAAGTTATATTCCTAGGGGCTGGAGAGAAGGCTCAGTGGCTAAGAGTGCTTTCTGCTCTTGCAGAAAACCTGAGTTCAGTTCCCAGCTCCCACATCAGGTGGCTCACAACTGCCTGTAACTCAAGCTTCGGGAGATCCAATGCCTTCCTCTGGCTTCCATGGGCACCCACACATATGTAGCACACACACAAACATATACATAAATAAATCCTTTTTTTTAATAAAAGAAATTACAATTCTAAAAAAATCTGTAGTATGGTGAGACACACATTTTTTAGTCAACCTCTATTTATTATTTATACTAGTATGCTAGCTCGGGATATTTAGGATAGTCCAGTATGGCCCCTTTTCCTTAAATTCATAGTAAATCTGGTAGGGTAGTACATTAACAGCTAATTACAAGACACAGTAAGGGGTGATCTAGAGCTACATACAACGGATGTTGGGGGGTATCACTGAACACTTCCTATCTGGGTCTGACAAGCAGTTTGTGGTAAGACTCCATGAATGGAAGATGAAAATGAAATGATAGTTGGGACTGAGATCATAGTGACCTCGTAAGCCATGCTAGAGAGTGTGGCTTCATCTTGTAAGCAGCAGGAGCAACAGGAGGGTCTCACACTGCTATAAGTGCATCAGACTTGCCTACAGAGATAACTCTGAGAAAGCTGGTTGATATGGACACAGAGAGGTCTCTCAGGGTGCTCTTTCCAGAAGACTCCATGAGGGTCAGTACCTCTGCACACTTCCTGTGATGAGAGATCAACAGGTGGTCCTGTTTCTGAGCAGTGTCTGGTAAGGGAGGGGGGGACCTGATAAACCCTGGGCTTTGGCCCCAGGTCAGAGATAAGAGTAGAAGGAGACGAGACGGCTGGTAGGAGACTTCCATCGCAGCTGTTTCCTTTGGCAAGAACCAAGGAACCAAGAACTGGGCATTAATCTCAGGAGTCCCTTTAGCTACAGAGGCCTGAAAGACCTATATGAAGTATAATGAGAACTGTCAACAGACCCAGGACCAGTGTTTACATGCTGTTTTTAGACTATGGGAAAGATGTCTTGAAGGTCAGGCTTCATTCATTTTCCATCTTTGGGAAAGAACTACAGGTATCCCTTTGTCTCTAATTATTAATCACATAATGAGGGTGAGCTGCATCTTTTATAATCCCACTACAATGTACTTTTTGTGATCTCATAGTCATAAGACCAAAAGGGGTCTGCTCACAATTTTACAACCTATTAAAATTTTAAAGATTAATTTGCTTCTTTTAATTTTATGTATATGAGCGTGTTGCCTGCATATATGTAAGTGCACCTGTGCGTGCAATGCCCATGGAGGCCAAAAGGGGGCGTTGGATCCTCTAGAACTGGTTGTTAGCTATGATCTGTGTGCTAGGAGCCAAACCTGGGTTCTCTGCAAGATTAGCCAGTGCTCTAAACAGGACCTCACATGAGATCCACCCACCTTTGCCTCCCAGGATGTAGGTTGGCCATCAGATTATTCAATGTACTCTGGGCAGTCATTTTATTTATGGATTCCAGTCTAAACAGCCTCCCACAAGAAAGGGGCTCAGATCCTAGGAGATGACTATTTGGCACAGAAACCACCAAGAACCACAAAATTGAATGAGACTCCTCTGCATTAAAAACAACTGAACAGAACACAACCTGCTTCTTATGTTCAAAGGAACTTTGAAGGATCAACACTTTACAAGACTCAAAAGAATAGGAGTCCTCAGAACAGCCCCATAAAACTCCCGTTATACACAGAAATGGTCTAGGAACAAAACCATTCTTTAAATTGGTGCTTCTAGAGACCAGAGGAGAACCACAGCTGAGAGCCTTGGGCTCAAAGGCATTCCAGTGCCAATGTGTCACAAAAGCAGTAACAACCACTCAATAGCTTCCAGACCCAATTTGCTTCACTGCTCATTTTGATGATGGAAAACTTACTCCAGCCCTGCAATCTCTTGCATTTTCCCTACTCCTGTCTCTCAACAGGGGGCATGAACTACAAGCCTGGCTGAGGGAAAATCAGAGAAGTAGAAGGAGCCTATCTGGGTGTTGTCACCAATTCTGGCTCTGTCTCAGACCCTTCTTCAAATGCACTGCCCAACCCCCTTCTGAAGACAGACCTCAACCACATGACCAACTTCCGGAATAGGCTGCAGGGGCCAGGGGTGAGAAGAAGTGCCAGAGAATGCTGAGGTTGACGGCTTGTAAGCCTGAGTCAGCATCTTCAGGAGAGTGGTTAGGAAATAGGCTTCTCTCCCACAAAAACCCCAAATGGAGCAGCCATCGCCCAAACCAGTGTGTGCAGCTGTGGAGGAAGGGCCCAAGGTGACCATGGATGCCCAGGAACCAGAGGAAGGAACTGGTCATCCACTCATAGCTGTATCTGGAAGGAGCCAGAGGGTCTGAGAGACAAGGAAGTACAACATGACCTTGCAGGAAAGTGTGTCATCAAACTGTCTGTCTGGAGCGGCACTGACTTTCAAGTTCTTTTTAAATGAACAAATACAATATTCTAGATTTAAGAATAATCCTCCAGCTCTCTGGAAAGGCCATTCTCCGGAGAGTACACAGCATGGGGAAAGGGGTGGGGGGGACATGTGAAACAAGAAGAGAGTCCCATGACTGGTTTGCCAGATGGTCCCCATCAATCCTGCTCACCAAGAAAGAAAGAAGCAGCACAGCCTGACCACACATCCATCACCTTCCTTGCATTTTTCAAGCTTTCTTTAAAGGCTGAGTATAGCGTTTCCGGGAGGTTGGAGGGGATACATTCCACCTCAGGGAAGTCAGTGAACTGGTACATTGTTCACCTGGGAGCCTCAGGTCCTAGTAGCCCTTTGGTCTCTCTACCCATGGCTCATGAGAGTCAATGCCACAGAGTTGTCCAGGCAAAGGCAAAAGCAAAAGACCACCTGGGGTGATCAGAATTCTGCAACATAAGAGTCACAGTACTGTGGGTTCTGACAGTTGAACAAAAAAGTGCATATTCACTCAGCCTCAAAATATTACCATTTCCAAAATAAGTTTTCCCTTCAGAGGTCCCTCATACCTGCTCTACCAACCACCCTGTGGTGCCTGCTGGTCTCCGTGCCCCACCCAGGCCCTTTGTCTATGTTCCTTCTGTTCCCAAAGTAACACAAAAGCAAGCAATGTTAAGCCAGGCGTGGTGGTGCATGCCTTTAATCCCAGCACTCAGGAAGCAGAGGCAGGTGGATCTCTGAGTTCCAGGCCAGCCTGATCTACACAGTGAGTTCCAGGCCAGCTGGGGCTACGGGGAGACCCTGTCTCAAAAAGACCAAAAAACAGCAAGTACTGTTGGCCCAATTGCATGAAACCAAGAGTCCAAGACGACCAAAGTCTCAGGCTGCTCCTGGGCAACACAGACTGGGCAGCCTTCTGCCTTCTAGAGTGAAAACATTTCCAAGGGTTATTTCTGACTCCTGATTTTTTTGAGAGAAAAACACTACCAGTTATTACAAACAGCTGGGGCCTCTTGAAGCTCTATGTGGCCGCTAAGGGGAGTGAAAACTACATCCTATCACACTAGAGCTTGGAGCTCCTTAGGCAAAGCCCAGGAAACTGCAGGTTAAGGCTGGAACCACCCCGCGCAGCTTCCAGGGGCGTAACTCTGACCCCTTTGTAAGCCAGCGTTTTCCTCCTTTTGTGCCTCCCAGGCATGTGCTGGGTACTTTTCTCAGTCTATTTCTCATAATCTACACCTGCAGCTCCTGAGCCCACACTTTTACTAACCTATATAAAACCATGCAGCTAATACCACTCTATCATCACTCTGATGGTGGGTGGGTCGATCCCTGTCACAAGGTTTAGCACATGGATCCTCATCTTTCCACCTCCCTTAATCCATGACACACATATGTACTTTGCAGTGCAATGACAATTCAGAACACGTCATTCTGCCATCCTCATGGGTGTACTCAAATCTATCTCCTATGAGGTCTGTTTCAGGAAGCCTGTCCTGCTCCTCCACTGTGCAAGTGTCCCACCTGTACCTTCTGTGGAAGGATGAGTAACTTCCCACCATGACCCACTGTTACATGCATTCAATTCACTTCATGCATATTTCACCACCTGCTTTATCTTTGTGGCTGAGCCCTATCCACCAGGTGCACTGTGCAATTAAGTCTCGCAATTGCTGACCCACAGTGGACTCCTCTGACTCAACATCACAGCACCTTCTAAGTTTGTATTCCATATGCGTGTCCCCACCCTGTACCACTGGCTTCCTGTCATAGCATGACCCTTTCCATCACCACCTGAAAAAGGCAGACTTTGGGAGGAGGGCCATACAGTACCCAAGCCTGGGTCTGGCTCAGAGCAAAGGTGGTGGTTGGAGGCCTACCTGAGCAGAGCACACCCTTGTTCCTGGCGCAAGAGAAGCTGTCACACTCACAGAAGGGCCCGTAGATCCTCCCGAATTCACTCTCGAAGCAGGAGCACTGGTTGCAGTTGCATTCTCCGCGCCCACTGCATAGTGGCTTGCCCTCTGCCTCTCGGCACAGGTTCTGGTATCCGCTCTGCTTCTCCCCCTCCTGGCACTCACATCTGGTGCCCAGGTAACTGGGATTACACTCACACAGTCCACAGATGTAAGTTCCATTCCTGCTGCACCTGGCACTGTTGGGCTCCAGCTCTGTGCTGCAGCCGCATGTGCAGTTGTAGGTAACCTCTACCTGCAGACTGTCCCGGAATCCCACAGGACGCAGGGTGAACACTTGCTCTGTGCGTCTGCCAGGGCAGCTCCGGGCCTCCACGGATACCTCAAAGGATGCCTGGGCAGAAGGAAGAGAGGAGACGTCATAGCCACAGCAAGCCAGATATTCCATCCACCCAGAGGTATGGCAGAACACCCTCTGAGAGGTCTCCTCCCTCCAGCACACATGTGGAAGGAACCCTTGTAGGAAGTAGGAAGATGGTGGGCTAGCAGGCCTTGGCTCTTTATGGAGAAGCACGCGGTCAGCTATGCTAATATTCAACAGTAACTGGGGTTGATTCTTTAACATTCATTGTCATCACCCTTAAGACCTTGTGCTCCTGAAAGGCGCTCTGAAGAAAGGCACAAGGAGCTAGGTTTACAGGGCTCTTGCTCACCCCTTTCTTTCCACTTCTAACCCATCCTCTTCCCACATCCACTGCTGCACACCTCTTCCCTCCCATTTTAAAAGTCATTAATCCAACTAACATTTACTGTGCATTACCTATATCAGGCATGGTGCTACATGCTGAGGTACTGTGGCACCCACTGGCATGAGGTGCAGGGCAGTGAGTGGCCAGCTGAACCTCTCTCTGTAAAGACTTCCTTCTTGGAGAAGGGATGGGCTGACATACTGAATGCCCTCTCACATTCCAGCCCCAGTTCCTGCCAGTCTGGTTCTCATAGCTATATCTTGCCCAATTAGCCCACAAGTCCTGATGAGGCCTTAAAGGAGATCTGTTGTTGAATAACACACACATGGATACTTCCTTTTTTAGGGAAGAGTTTCTAACTTCAGAGTTTCTTATGGACTGCCTTGGAATCTGGCAGCAAGGTGACAGGTGACAGCACAGGAATGATGTCTGTCAACTATCCACAGGCCTGGAGGGGAGGAAGGCTAGGAAGAGGCTTGCTCTGACTCTTCCAGGAACTAGAGCATGAAACCCCATCCTCTATGTCTCCCTTCACAGATGAAGGAACTGTGAGGGGATTGAAGCACCAGTGAGACAAGCACTATAAATTCCACAGAAATGCAGACAGGGAGCTGGTACGTGCTGAAGGAATCTCACTGAGAAGCAGAGCTCTGGGGCAGGGATCTGCCCTCCCCAAGAAGACAAGCCCAGCCACTCTTCCAAGTGGCCCCTCATATCTGGGCCCAGTGTCTTTATTTCCAAGACCATTATTTCCAAGATTTCTCAGATCATTCTGAGGTTCAGAATGGGTTGGGAAGCCCTGTTGCTGTTCTTCTTAATTCCATGATATAGGTTGAAGTAAAGCTGACCTTTACTGGGTACCTTTAATAATGTTCATTTTGAAAACATTTAAAGTATTTGTTTCTAAGCATTCTACAGATTCTTATCTCACTGAGGTCTTTACTTCTAAAAAGCTCATCTCAGATTCTCCAGCACCTGGGGTCATCTAGGGTAGTGAGACCGAACAAGACAGGCCTGGTTCTCTAGATCCCTGGGAGAGTCGGCTTGGTAGTAAACCATAGCCCCAGGTCTTTGACAACTGCCACCCAGGGCTCAGCACTGACCATGACACTTAGCAAGGGGTACTTTTGGATGGGTGAGCTGAGGAAAATGTCTAGGAGGCCAAGATTGGAAGACACTGGGAAGACCAAGCCAGCTGCAGACAGGACTAGCCCCTCCTCATCTACTATCTCTATTCAGGGTGAGGAGAAGGAAGAAAAGGGAAGTGATAGACAAGTTCAAGGCTGAATTCCAAGGCTCTAAGATCCAGGTCACTCAAGATAGGAAAAGATGGGGATCTACCTGGCATTGAAATCTGTTGATGACAAAACTTACGGTTAGCACTGCTGAGTGCCTACTGTGCACTGGAATTGCAGTGGGCACTACCACAAGCATTTCTTCCCTACATCTCAGAAGCAGCCATCCTCACTTTCCCAGGGAGACAAGAGGGTTAAAGGGCGGGTGAACCTGCATGGCCACATAGCAGGTAGGGGTTGGGCTCAGCTAGAACAGACCTGCACTGTCTTAAGCATGTCACCTCCTGGGAACAGGGTTGATACTCAGGTACAGATCTGGGTAGAGGGAATGACAGCCAGGTTTACTTCAAGGACGACATGGTGGTGACCCCAAACTGGTAGCCATAGGCTTCACCGAAGATTCCTGCCTTGGACTGGATGATCTAAGTCTCTACATAGACAGAGTTTGGGAGCTGGGCCTGAGCAAAGTCATCCATGGGACCATGAAGGATGCAAGAGAACAGAGCCTCTGAGAGGCTGATGTCATCCCTCCCTCTGAGGCTCAGAGAAACAGTGACTTGAATGAAGCTGCCTCTGGCTACAACTTACTATGTGTGACAAATAAATTGCTGCATGCAAAGACATCTGGAGATCAGAAATCAATAAGCAACAAAGGAACGACCTGAAGCAAGAGCCAAAGGTATTTAATTATCAAGAGATTATGCTGAGTATATCCCCATGCAGACTAGCCTGTGTCAAGAAGAAGGAAAGGAGAGAGACAGAGCCAAATCTCCTGAACCTTGTCCACATGTTGTATGCGCCCTGGGCACGTGAAGTATTGGCAGCCTCTGACTTGGCTCTGGCCTATATCAGCCAGGATGTAGAAACTCACTGGCTTGGCTGGGAAGTCAAGAGGGCCTGGCTTCCCAGTAGGTCCCGGGCTGCCTCAGCCAAGGCTTCTGTCCAGCAGAGGTGCTATCTGCCTGGCCCCAGCAGCCTGGCCTGCAGCTGGAGGTCTGATAACCAGAGGTAGGCATTGTCTGTTTCAGCCACTGGGTCTCAGCTCCTGCTGGACACAGCAATGCTATAAAAAGCATGTTGGGAATAGCAAGTAGATCTGTTTTGCTCACTCCTCCTTTCACAGTCCATTCTCCCTACTGAATTAGCAAGGAATCCAGAAGGCTGGAAGGCAGCTGGAACACAACTTCTCTGCTTCCCTCCCCTGCTGACTGAGGTCTCCAGTTCACTATTGAAACTGAGAGCTCCCAGGGTCCTGGAAACTTTCCAGGCTCCCACTCCAAGATTCCAGAAGAAGGTGACAGACACATGATTTAACCTCATTGGATGTTCCTGGCTCCCCCATGGGAGCCCATCCTTCCAAAAGGGCTGCCCAGCCCCTACCCAAATTCCCCAACCCTCAGCTCTGCAGATGCTAAAGTCACTCAGATCTTAATGAAACAAAAAGCCGAGATGAGCCCAGAGTATAGCACTCAGAGGAGTGGATAGGAGCAGGGGAGGGGGAGGGAGTACCATGGGAAGGCCGTGACAGCAGTTCACTGGGCCCTTTGTATGGGACTCTAGTGCTACATGGCCAGCCACTTGCATAGTGATTTGTCAAAGCTAGTTACTGAGAATACCAGTTCACAGGGTCTGGGTCAACTTGGTCAGGTTTGTTGGTATAAGAACCAAGGGAGGAAAATTAGGGAAATACCTGAGAATTTGAAAAAGAGAACCTCCGGCCTTGGGGCTTCAGGGTTTAATTTAAGGAAGACTTCTCTATGGGGACACCCTTGTTCTTACCTCCTCCCATGCCTCCGGCTTCTTACTGAATATAAGACGGTCACTGAACCACCACCACCTCTGGCTGGAAGTGGCCATAAGACACTGGCAGTCCCTCCCTTCCCTCTGCAGGAAGCTACTGATACAAGGAAGTGAGATCCACTAACCCAGCTGTCCCCATGCTGCCCCTCACACAGGCTGCATGTCCCCAAATCAGACCTGAGGTGCTGACAGTTAAATTCTGCTTCTCCTGAGCCCTGGAGTCCCAAAGCCTTCAGTCAGGCTGTGTTCTCCCGTCGACCCTCATCATTCCCTGACCTGCCTTTATCCTTCCTGACTTGTGGCCCTCCCAAAAGAACCCACTGACAAAGAATGGCCAGATCCCTTAGCTTGCCATATGCGTCCTACTAGCGTGGCCTAGGCCAGCCATTCTCCCTCAGCCGCCAAACCACTACTCTCAGCTCCACAACCATCAGCCTCAGCTATTTCCCCCTGTGAAAGGCACCACTCTTCACACCCTAGCAAACTCACCGCACTGCCTTGTACATGGGGCACCCACCAATGGGAGACCCCACCCTCCTTCTGTTTCTTGGCTCAAAGAGCCTCCCTCCTCAATGACAGGCCCTCCTTCCTTGGGGTTCCTTTAGTGCCAAGCCGTCTTTGTCGTAGGGAATATTGATTTGTACAATCACCCCATCCACTAGACTCTACATTCCTGCTGTCTCGTTTTTATTTATATTCTGGATGAGCAGAATATCTGGCACTTAAACATATACTAAACACAAGTAGTTTCAGCAGTCACCAGGAAGTTGTGACACGCCGGTGAGCATACTCAGTAGCACACCTGGTTGTCAAAGCTCAGCTATAAACTCCTTGGCAAGGATGCTTCATTCCAGGAGGAGGAATGGGAAGCCTGCCTTTGGAGGCCACTTCAGAACACTATGATGCCAGCTGGAAGTTCATCTCTCTGTTCCAGAAATCAGAGGAAGTGACAGACCCCTCTGTCTCAGTAAAAAGGGGTTGAGGTCACCAGCCTCCCTAGGGCTGGCGTTCTATGCATGTTCCTGGAGTCCTGAGCTTTGTCAGCTACAAACTCCTTGGCAAGGATGGCCTGAACTTAGTTTTAGGCTCTACTATTGCTATCTTAAACTTGTATTTAAAGATTTGTTTGTTTGTTTGTTTATTTATTTATTTATTTATATTTTGGTCTTTTTGAGACAGAGTCTGACTGTAGCCCCAGCTGGCCTGGAATTCACTGAGATCCACCTGCCTCTGCCTCCTGAATGCTAGGATTAAAGAAGTGTGCTACCACGCCCAGTGATTTATTTTATTTTTAAAATTATGTGGGAGGGTATGTGTGTGGCGGGGCATTTGTGTGCACATGGGAGTCCAGATGCCTGCAGAGTCTAGAAGAGGAAGCTGGAGTTACAGGTAGTTATGAGCCACCCAACAAGGGTTCTGGGAATCAAACTCAGGTCCTCTGCAAGAGTAGTACACACCCTTACTTGCTACGCCATATCTTCAGTCCCTTAAAATTCTTAATAATTTTCAGACTCCACATTTTCATTTTGCACTGGACCCACACACCCTAG